CGGCTGCCAGAGCTCCGGCAGTGATTTAAAGGGCTCAGGGCTCCCCGCAGTGGCTGGAGCCCTGGACCCTTTAAATCACCGCCGGAGAAGCCGGTCCAGTCCGGCTTACTTTCACCTCTGAACAGCTCATTTCAGCAGATTCACTTGGCAGACTTATTATTGGGCCCAAGCTTTGGGGGATTTTAAGGTTTTTCATAAAATCTCCCACAAGTGCTAGCAATGCATTTTTACCATACACTTCATCTGCGTTCTTAGCATGGGTTGTCTAACTCTTTTAGAGCAGATCTAGACACCGTGGTGCTAAAATGCCAGCAGCCATTCTACACAAGCACTCCTATTGGTGCTGCTGTCTGTGCAACAAAAAAAAGCTCAATATGGAAAAGTCTTAGCAGCAGCACCCTTAGCACCATGCCTGAGCATGATCAGTGACCTGCTGGAGTGTCTTGTGATGGGTTCAATTCCATCAAGTGACTTTCACCTTCTCAGCAGGCACCTCTATATGAACTGATGTTCACATCCATGGATGGCATTTCTGTTAATTAAACAGTAGTGTTATCTGGGCACTATGTGGGACCTTTGCCCCTCTATTATTATTTCAGCTGTCCTGGGATGGCACTAACAATAAGAAGTTGGCAGGTGTTAATATATTGTGCAGTAAGAGGATTTTTTAAAATATTCTGTTCCACATTTTTTTTTTCACTTCTAAACAGGAAAAAAGTCAAAGTATTAAATTAGGTTGTAAAATGTAAAACAAAGAGGGAAAAAAAACAAAAAAAAATCCATCTTCTCCTCTTAACCAAATTTTCTGATGTTGGGAGGCATTAATAACCCTGTCATCTGTATTTTAGCCACCAGCACCTGCAAGACTCCATGTGTTCCCATGCTCAAGAAGACTATCCCTAGGGATTGCCTTCAGAGCCCGTCAGTGCTCACTGATGAGTAACATTAATTGCTCCCCTCTCCTGTGAGTTTTAAGTTCTTTGCTTTTCCAGCATTTCCGGATCCTGTTGACTCCAGGGAGAGAGATCCTGTTTTCTTAAAGAGTCTTTATTACAGTTGCTTTTCTCTTCCATCCCCTGAGAATCCACAAAATATGCTAGGAGGAGAAATGCTATGATTCAGAGGGTTACCACTATAAAAACATCACGGTGCTGTAGTGTTTGCATCAGTACAGATCATAGAATCATAGAAATGTATGGCTGGAAGGAATGTCAAGGTCATCTAGTCCAGCCCCCCTGCATTGAGGCAGAATTAAGTACACCTGGACCATCCCTGGCAAGTGTATGTCTAACCTGTTCTTAAAAATATCCAATGATGGAGATTCCACAACCTCCCTTGAAAGTCTATTCCAGAGTTAACTATCCTTATAGTTAGAATTTTTTTCTGCTATCTAACCTAAATCTCCCATGCTGCAGATTAAGCCCATAACTACTTGTCCTACCTTCATGGACATGGAGAGCAATTAATCACCCTCCTCTTTATAACAGCCTTTAACATAGTTGGAGATAGTTATCAGGTCCCCCCTCAGACTTCTTTTCTGAAGACTAAAAATGCCCAGTTTTTTAAATCTTTCCTCATAGGTCAGGTTTTCCAAATCTGTTACCATTGTTGTTGTTCTCCTCTGGACTCTCTCCACTTTGTCCACGTTTTCTAAAGTGTGGCACCCAGAACTGAACACACCACCCATGCTGGGACCTCACCAGTGACGAGTAGAGCGGGACAGTTACCTCCCGTGTCTTATATACAACATTCCTGCTCATCCACCCCAGATTGATATTTGCCTTTTCCCAATTCATCACATTGTTAATCCATATTCAATTTGTGATCCACTCTAACCCCCAGATCCTTTTCAGCAGTAGCCAGTTATTCCCCATTTTGTAGTTTGTAGTTGTGCATTTGATTTTTCCTTCCTGAATGCAGTACTTTGCACTCGTCTTTATTGAATCTTATTGATTTCAGATCAATTTTCCAATTTGTCAAGATTACTTTGAATTCTAATCCTGTCCTCCAAAGTGCTTGCAACCTCTGCCCCGCCCCTCAGCTATGTGTCATCTGCAAATTTTATAAGCATCTTCTCTACTACATTAGCGAAGTTATTAATAAAAATATTGAATACTACTAGACCCAGGACTGAACCTGTGAGACCCCACTAGATACGCCTTACCAGTTTGACAGTGAACCATTGATAACTACTCTTTGAAGTTGTGCACCCAACTTATAGTAATTTCACGTAAACCCCATTTCCCTTGTTTGCTTATGAGAATGTCATGTGGGAATGTGTCAAGACATAGCATATTTATTGCTTTCCTCTCTCCACTAGGCCAGTTACTCTGTCAAAGAAGGAAATTAGGTTTGCTTGGCATGATTTGTTCTTGACAAATCCATGCAGACTATTGCTTATAAACCTATTACAAATTGATTGTTTAATCATTTGTTCCAGTATCTTTCCAGATATTGAAGTTAGGCTGGCTGGTCTATAAATTCTTGGGTCCTCTTTGTTTCCCTTTATAAAAATTGGTGTACTATGTTTGCACTTCTCCAGCCCTCTGGGACCTCACCCATTCTCCATGAGTTCTCAAGATACATCATTATACATCCGTGTATAATATGTCAACTTGATGCATCATCACAACAGGTAAGCACTACCTCAGTGTGGTATGATGCCCAGAATTACTATGAGACCAATCTTGCAGGACACAAGCCTGGCCCAAGAAAACCAGGATGGTCCCATAAATTTTAGTTCAAGTGGCTTCCTGGTGGGGAGCTCGAGGCTTGGGGAACTGAAATGAGAATGTAGGCTCCAGTAACTATTTAACAAATCTTTAAAACCTACACTGCAGCTGCTTAATGGTTCATGTACGTTACTCTTCCTCCTCTCCCCAGTACACCCAGTGCAGACATGCACAGCTGTGTACCCTGGTTCCTGTACATTACAATTTCTAACATTTTAATGGGCGTCTGTGAAATGCTTCAATAAATATCTCCATCATTAATACAGCAGACACCAGATTCAAGGCCCCACCCCATGGAAACTCAGCATAGTAATCAGCCTCCTCTGGTGCGTTCTCCCAGTCCCGCAGCTGCCACTGGCTGTCTTCTCTGCCGTCGCCAGTACGACTGCTGGGATGTAGTTGGTGCCTATATTTCCACCCTCCAGCTCCAATACAATTACACTGATGCTGGAGAAAGGACTGATTTATCATTAATGATTTTTATAAGGCACAAAGAAAATAGACATAAATAATCCAAAGAAAGAGAAGAAGAGGAAGCTGTGAGCTTTGGGAAGAAGAATGTTGAGGTATTCACATCTGCAGTTGCAGTTCAGAGCTTCTTGCATAAATAGGAGGGCACAGGGTACAGTGACTTCTGCCACTACTCTAATCTCACTTCAGGCCTGAATTCTCATCTGGAGTCTCTTGGGATCAAATCTGAACAAGAGTTACATTGTCATGTTACTGAAGAAGGTTGGGAAGTCTTGGCCCCTATTAATATTAAATACAAGGCATGTGAATTTGAGTGACATGACCATTATCTTACATTTCCCCCAGTCTTCACATGGCTGGGAAGTGTGATGCAAGTTGTCTAAGGCTTGGAACAGGAAGGAAATATTTTGTTTCATTCCACTGATTTTTTGCCATGAGCTTTGAAGACTAGAGAGGTGTACAGGGTATTCATACTCTTTCACACATCTATATTCGGAGTCTTGAACTGGATCCCTTTCTAGCTTTCTTATAGGTGAGGAAGTTATTACCATATTTTTTCAAAAGACCTGTTGTGGGGGAACAGTACATAGCAGGAGCTCTCTGGCAACCAAGATAAAAAAATCTACTCAGTGTGATGTAAAATTTCAGTTCTTTTTCTCCATAGAGGTAGGGGAATATCTCAAGAAGCCTTTTGGACAAGAATGTCTGAAAAGTTGTCTTAAAACCATGCCACAAAACAAGGCAGTGCTCTTCATGGTGGGGATTCTTCCTTACAATGTGTTTTACCATAGACCGTGCAATGGGTCCCTGATCTTGAATGGGACTCCTGGGCATTAGGGTAATGCAAATAATAAAATCAATAATTCTGTGAACATCAATGAAGTACTCCCAAGTATTTTCTGCAAGGCTGGGTAAATCGAGCAGCTGCACATCTGTTTACATTGTGGTAACTGTATCTTTGCAAAAGAAATGACAAACTTAATTTCTTTATTATTTAATTAAAGCTTACAATATGCAGAGTGCACCCAAATTGTAGAGAGTTTTCAGAATGGTAAGATCCGCAATTCCCCACCCAGAAAACAGTTTTCTCCTGTTCTGAATGTTAGTGAGTTTTTCTCTAAGGGGAAGAGGAGAGGGGTTTGATCTGTGCATTTCAACGAGACAGAATCCTCTCAGATAGATGGTCCTAGATGATTTTCCCCAACAATGTCCGAGTTCCTGGTGAGCAGCAGAGCTGCTAAATTGTGTTAGATGTTTGCAGTATCCCATAACTCAAATGGCTTTTCCTCAAACTTTCCAGAAATAATTCACCTCTGGGCTGAGACCAGGCATGGACAATTCAGCCTAAAGGAAATATTTTTCAGAACCTGATGAGTGTGTGTATCACGTTCATGCCTTCAATTATAGCTTTATCTCCAAAATCAGTCAGCAACACTGGTGCCCATCTAAAGCAAGGCCACTCATTGTACTCCCAGCTTCCCGGTTCCATTCTCTGAGGGTGTAATTTATATACCTTTCCTGCAGTTAACCCCTCTTCTTATGAATAAATAATAGACATAGAAATTGGAGCATTACCAGAGCTTCGAAACCCTGAGCTCTTGGGCTTCAACTACTCACAGAGAGCTGCTGCTACCATCACTCACTATCTCACATTGAATTCATTTCATTTCACAGACTGACTGCACCTAGGGATGCAAGTGACAATGATCTTAAATTCCAAAGGACCTGACCAGCTTATGTGCGTCTCTCTCATAATCCAGGTGGTTGTTTATTTTGTGCATGTTCTTCTTGTTCCAGATGTCCCTGTTGAGAAACTTTCTTCAATGGAGTCGCTGCAGTGTGTAAACCTGAAGTCAAATCCCCTGAACGAGGAAGTCCAGGTGATTGCCAGGCCGCTGATAAAATTTGACCTCCTGGTGTCTCCAAAGGGAGCACATGCTGCTCCGCAAGCCTGAAACACAGACTTTGGTTGTGTGGACTTGGTGTGACTTCATTTGAGAATGGTTTTAAAGGGAAAGCTAGGGGATCCGGCTGCAGGGCATGCTGATCTAGAATGGCTCCACCAGCTTTTGCAAGCTGCATCACTCCTGCATGTGTGAGGTTTTGTAGATGTGAGGAGTAGGATGGGGATGATTGGGGGGAGGGGAGGTTCAGAATCGGTATTTCATTGATAGAGAGTGGATCTGCTTATTGTTATTTCTTTGCAGCTGTCTAAAATACACAGAAATGCAGTGAGGCCCTAGTAAATCGCTATTTGATAAAGGAATAAATCTGTGAAAAGATTAAACTTCCAGGGCAACAGAAGGGAAAGTGCAATGCAGAAATAGATCAGATAAGAGACTCAGTCTCCTATGTGTATTTCTGTGCACCAAACAAAACTAGAAATAGTCTCACAGTAGAGCCTTCTGCAACAAGTCTGACAAGGAAGTGACCTATTAGAAGAATAACACCTTGCTTCAACAAAAATCAATATAATAGCCTACTCCATTCTTGTATCACTCAAAGCCCTGTTATTCAGGTGAAGCATAGTATGGAGCAGAAGAGTGCTAGAAGGAGGCTCTGTCCCATGAATAAGCACTTGTTTACACAGCCTTGCTGGTCCAGGATTGAATGAAAATACTCTGTGGATGGACTTTTCTTTTCAACTAGTTTGATCTTGGTGGTTTACCCCTAGGATCTGAGCCAGCTGTTATAATGGAGCATATTAACTGGACACCACTATGAGCATCAAAACAAGACAGTAAAACTTGTCTTACAGTACAGAGGTCCTCTTGGAAAGAATATCCTATCTACAGACAACTCCTTTTCTTCTCTGGTTCTTCATTCAACATTTGATTGACAAGGCATAATGATCACACACACACCCTTTTTTTTTTTTTTTTGACAGATTAGTTGATTTTGTCCAAGATAAATAATTTCTGTTCTGCCTCCTAGGGCTTGTCTTCACTGCAAAGTTAACTCGAATTATAATTTGAATGTTGCCCTTAACTCAAGTCCCATCCACACACACAAACTCTTTACTGAAGTGTGGTGGTACTTTTAAGTCAAGTTGGCTGGCCCGAGAGGGAAGGTATAGGCCAAAACTCAAGTGAGCACAATTCGTCAGTTGCTAACATAGGCTAGCTCCACTCAAGTGCCAACAGTCCTCCAGTGTCTTCCCACAATTCCTTCCCTGTGCCCAGAAAGGACAGAAGAGTTCTCTCACTAGTTACTGGAAAATAATTCATAGAATGGCCTATTTTAAGCATGGATTGTGTGTGTCCCCAGCAGTCTTAGTAACACACACTAATGAGTGCAGCTCCAGAGTGGCTACAACAGCTCGAGTGTTATAGTGCAGTGAGCTAGGCTTGCTTGAGCTAAGCTAACTTGAGAGGAGTAACTCAAGTGTAGATAACTTGTTATACTCCTAGTGTAATACTAGGACTGGCAGTGCATTGACATTAACAAGAGCAGGAGTGAAGAAATGTTCAAACATGTTTTCTGCATGTCACTCCAGTATATGTTAGTTCTGGTTTTAGTGATCTCGCTGAGTGTGTCCTGTCATGAGCTGCTCACTGCTTGTCCCTTGTTCACATGGTAGGTATATTTTGCTTGAATAGATTTTAACCTAGTTTCCTGTTGCTGGGGATCAAGAGAGAATCTGGTGGATGGAAGAACCAGAAAATTTAACTTGCTGGTGAGAAATGATCTCTGGTAGTTGGTTTAAAACAAAAAGGCAATAAATTAATCTGTTTGTTTCATCCTCTTGAATAGTGTTTTCCACAGAATATAGACATATGCAGGATGTGCCTAATACATACATGTGGATATTATTGTTTCCCCTTTCTAACCAAAGCAGCTAGTCAAAGTTTAGGGCCCCGGGAATATCCCAGCTGGAAGTAGAGTCTGGTATTTTCTTTGATGCAATCTAGTTTATTTACAAGGAATGTACAAAGTCCTGCTTGTCCAAATGCAGAGGGAACCAAGAGCAAAAGGAGCAGTTTTTTATCTGACAATCCCATGCCTCTTTAGCCAACACTAGACCCAAAACACTAGACCCAGTAGACTCACTTTCTAGCTTTTTCCAAGGTCAGCTGTGCTTACAGGCTGCTGCTTGGCCTCTCAGTCTGCTGGCTCTGTTTCCAGCTTGTCTATTTTACTTACACAAACACACATGCACAGACACCCAGTCAAACACTCCATCCACAGGGTGCTAGTTTCTGGGCAGACACTGTTAGGATTTGTTTTTGGTGTGGCCCCGTAAGTGTTTCTTACAACGCACAGTTTGTGCAGGGTGAGTTCACACATTGGTTTGAACAAGGTTTTAACTCAGCCCCTAACAAGATTTCACCCAGCTCATAACTTATAAATGGGGAAACACTCCTTTCATTGGGGATACATTTACGTCCTCACTGCTCACTTCATCTCTAAAAGGTTGCCTGCTTTCAAATATTGGTATTAGTGGCAAGTTGGGTACAAGGTTTTGTTATTCTAGACCCACCTTATTCACAATGAAACTTTACTTTGAAATAAAATAGGTGGTTGGTTTAGTAACATTCACCAATTAGTAGAAGCAGTGATATGGATTCCTAAAGCTCTACTGACAAAAAGTAATTTTCATTTAATCAGCATGTGAAATGTCAAGTGCCAAAATAAATCTACCCTTGTGCTACATCTCGTGTATGCTCACCTTCTAAACAGCAGTTTTGTTCTTCCCATCTGGCCTTCCTTGATTATAAAAATGATTCCTTTAACCAGCTGCTACATCCTGTGAACTGGACATTCTTTTTTGCTCTGGCTTTGAAATCAATATTGCCTGTGCTTTCTTTTTTAAAATCATAATCTTGATTCCAAGTTCCTGACTTAAGAAGTGGTGTGTGCGTGTTTGAATATAATGCTGTATATTAATTCAGGATTTTTTGTGATGGCACATTGTCAGAGAAATCAACATTGTACTACTTCAATTACAGAGATGATTAGAATATGGTAGCATGTTAGTTCAGATTACTTTCAGATTCCATAACATGGTACAGCCATAAAAAGAGCATAGAGGAATATGACAGGTTCACAAGATATTTGCAGGGTCTGATCATTTAAAATTCATTGCATACCACAAGCCATTCATCTAATTAGTAAACAATAAACAGACTACTCGTGTGTTTGAGATTTAAACGTATTACAGAATATGCACCAGGGAGTTCCCTAATGGTTCCTTATCTAGGAGCCCTATTGATCATCTAGATTCTTCAAAGGCTCTAAAAGACACAGAAGCACACATGGGTGCCATATTGAGTGGCCTGCCAACCTCACTACAGAAATCAGAATTGATTAAAATAGTCGCTAGTGATGATACACAACTGCAAATGGTATCAGATGTTACTTAGCAGAGGGCCCAGATCCAGCCCTTGCCTTCCATGCATAGTGAGGAGAACTCTCTGAAGATCTGATGATCTGTGCTGATTGTACGGAAGCCCACAATCTTTGCAGGATCACATGAAGGAAGAGATCCAGGAGGGACATCAATGCCTCAGAAAGCACCAGAAACAAGCCTCAGTGTGTGAGTGTCCACCCACTTAGAGGTGGACCTAACACTCAAAGTAGAATCATGCAAATCTTGCACCAGAAAAACTCAACTCAAAGAATCTCTTCCACCAAGAAGAAAAGGGGCCAGGGGTACCTGGTAGCCTTTAGCTATTTCTCTAGGTTTATAGAAATTCTACTTTTCACTAGACACACAAGCCAACAAATCACAGAATAGTTAAAATGCACCTTTTATTATTTTGGCACTTGGAAGAAAGTCACTGGCCATGGACTACAGTTTGCTAGCTCTAAATTCCAAGCTTTTGGGCTACAGTATGTTTTTAAGCATATTAATTCTTCCAACAAGGGAATGAACTGGCAGAAGGAACAAAACAGATTGTTGAGAGAATTCTACACCAAAAAGATTCCATATTAGACTTCTGTGCTGTAGGCCAACTCCCACCACATTGGCACAACAATTACCAGCGTAAACCCAGCTCAGCTGCTTATGGGTTGACAGATTAGATCAATGCTGCCAATCTATATGGTATATCTTTAGCCTTAATGGCTCTTCTTAAAGATGTGAAGCTGAGAGATACCAAATCTGTGAGATCTCATGCTTTCTTTGTTAGTTGTTGGAATGCAGCCCAAAGCTTAAACCGGGAGACCTAGTCCTGATAAAACTGAATGGGTAAAAATATTGGCCAACAGCTGTTGTCACTGGACACAGCTGTGTCCAAGATCCCACATGGATAAGACAGATCAAGGCACTTAGTGTGGAAGAAACAGGTGGAATATTCAGCAGGCAGCAAACCCAGTTTGGGTCTGTTATGGGCTTGATGCTGAAACCACTGGGTGGAATTCTATGGCCTGCGTTATTCAGGACATCAGACTAGATGATCATAATGATCCTTTCTAGCCTTCAAGCCTCTGAATTAGTTGAACTGCTGTGGGACTCTAGTAACAATGGTATTCACACCACAGGCTGTGTGAAGGTTGAGCAAAGTCCTTCATAATCCAAGAGAATAAACTGGACAAAACCCTCCTCAAGGCCAGAGGATGATCAGATTTGGATGAGCTGAGAAGCAACTGACTCAAACTGATCTTCAATTTTGTTTTTAAAGATTGTTTATACAGAAAAAAGAGGGACAAGATATGAAGATGTCTGCTTGGTTTGTTTAAAATTCTAGCAGGAACCCAGGCAGAAGAAGGCTAGGTGAGGGCTCTAGATAGGAGTTCTACAATGACAGAAGCAGATTAGATTTAGGGATGATATCATTATCCTTCCTCAAACAGTTTCTTGTTCAGTATGAAAAGAAAGTGACTTTTAGTCATTCTTTACCGTTACCACATGACAGAACCATCAGTGCCATCAAAACTTAGGTAATAAAATGTGAAAAGCATCTTGGGTTTTATTGCTTTCTCCTCTTTTTTTAACCTTTCAAAGAAAGTAAGTCTCAGAACTGAAAGATGTCTAGTCTAATGGGGGCAGGACATGGGAGCCCTTCAAGAAAATTGTGGATCCACCCTCAATCTAGAGGCTTGGCAGCTTTTGTGA